AGAATAAATAAACTCACAGATATTAGTTTTTGTTAATTTTTTTATCTAAAAGTCACTTACACATTTTTTCTCTCTCTAGGGATTATAGTTCGGAAGAAGGATGCTATAATCAAGAGAGATGCGCGAGGGGACAGGGGCCCCAAAGAAACTGACAAAGGAACAGCTTGAACCAGACACATTCTGGGACCTGGTTGAAAAACTCCTCCTACTTTCAACAAATGACGAACAACATCGATTACGTCACAACGTATCTTTGTCCGCTCTGTGTAGAGGAAATGCTTTATTGACACTACAACGGGGTCTAGCTACAAAGCAGACGACAAGTACAGTTACTGCAGCAGATAACAAGAAACCAATAATTCCAGAAAATACAAAACAGAAACCAGATGAGAAGTTTCTGGAAGATAAAGAACAAGTGTCAATAGAAAGCGAGAAGCGCTATGTAAGCGCCAAACAGACTCATAGTGAATGTAACGTGTCTGACTCCGATATCGTTTTTGTGAAAGAGTCCGAAGTACCAGCGTCTGAACGACTTTGGAGATTCGCCATCAGGAATAGGAAATATAAACTAGACATTGAATCAAATGTAGATTTATCTAAAACAATGCCGCGTGTGCAAAGCAACGAGGCTATATATGAAGGGCTCCAAAGAAGGATTGAAGAAGCAAAAGAAGACAAAAATGAAGAGATACCTGATAATAAGTCAAAAGCAAAACAAAAACAAGAGTCACACAAGCCAGATGAAGTACATAAGCATCGGTGTGAGAACGTAACGAAAAATTACAATCCTATAAAAAATAAACCTAAAAGTAAACGTTCAAAATCGAGAAAAAAGTCAACCAATAAAAACCCTAAATCAGTTTTACCACATCAAAAAGCCAGCGCTGATCAAAATTGTCACGATTTAGATCCAACCCCTCTTCAAAACCTAATCAAATCCAGTGAAACTGACGCTTCAGACGTTCAAGAGCAGAACCTAGTTAAAACCTTTGAATCAGAGCGTTCAAATATTTCACCGGAACATTTTGAGGCCAAGAAATCTTTGTATGATTCCGTGTTAAGGAAACGCCTATCATGTGGATGCCAGTTGGAAGTCCTCAATAGAGAAATCATAAACAATAGGCTTTATCCACGAATGCTTCTAAGTCGAGAAACGACGAAAAAATATGCAGCACTGAAGAAAGAATATCTTAATCTATGCTACCAAGAATCATCCCTACGTTCCCAGATTGCAATGCTTCAAACAGAAATATATATGATACATAACAAAGATCTCCATAAAAGACAAGCCGTAATAAAAACCATAACACTTGACTCTAAATCTGCTCATGTGCCTCAAATAGATAGCTCGAGCAACGCTCACAGCCCTGAGACAGACAGCGACAATAAAAACGCCCTTTTATTTCCTCGGCTTAAGCCACAGAAACCTCTATCCATTGCCCAACAGAGACCTTTCTGTCACAACAACGATCGCACCATGCCGGCTAAAAAGTTCGTTCACAACAAAGATTCGCCGCAGCCGAAACGGAACGCGACATCACGTGATAAATGTGCTAGCACAAGTTTTCCGAGTATTGAAAAAAATATGTCACCAAAAGGAATTTGTTCATTGTACTCGTTGACGACTTCTCTTAGATCCCCGAGAAAAAGGTAAATGTGGTCATTAACTCAATTTTCAGATTTTCAGCCGATGACGTTTTTTTTCCAAGTAAATTACTAGAAGATATACGTGCCGCCTTTGCGACTCTTGCACGGCCGTGCATAGATTTTGAGGTGACGTCCTTTGCGTTATATAGAGGATATTAAATGAGTGTAGTTTAATACTGAATTTATTGATCGAGTTGAATAAAATCATATTATGCGAGCCTCTGGCGAGCATAATATTGTTTTATTCAACGAGTTCAATAAATTTAGTATTGAATCTACACGAATATAATATTCTATTTATCACATATATAAAATAAGACCAGTATTTAAAACTGTTAAAATGAGTAATTTTTTAATGACGCGCCTACAGTGTAACGCTAACATTAGCGCGCTTTAACGCTATGTTTCTATATAGCGCAAACGACGTCACGTCAAAGTGTTATTACACTAGTGTAATATCGTTTTTATTACATAGAGGATATTTAAGAAATATAATATATCCCAAACTGTGATTTTATCGCTCAATAACATCACTGTTTGGAGTTCGGATGCGAGGAATTATATCACGAGGGCGTAGCCCGAGTGATATAATGATGCGCATCCGAACGACAAACAGTGATGTTTTCCAGCGATAAAATCACCGATTTGGATATATTATTTCGATTCTAACACGACATAAACAAAAAAATGCTGCCGTACCTGCTATTAAGCAAAATTGCGCCTGGTTTGTTTCCGTACTAATTGTCAGCGCGTCGGATTTTATAGTGGTCACGTCACATGTATACTGTAATGATTCCGTCTCATGTCTAAATATAGAGCGTCAAACAGCGACTCTATTGCATAATATCACACACTTTCGGTTCTTCTATATATGTTCAATATGGAAAAATGCGGGTCGTGTTAGAATTGTTCGTTTTGCATGTAAGATTGAAATATAATTTCACTGAGTGAACACCAGATGCAATATTTTCACGAGTGGCGTAGCCACGAGTGAAAATATAATAGCTGGTGTTCACGAATGAAATATATTTCAATCTTATATGTAAAACAAATAAATTTTCTTTTTATTTCATGCGTTTTAAGTGATTTTAAGTAATTTTTTACTGATTTTGCCGTGTAACGTCGCGCATTCTCCTGTGTGACGTCATCACATCATGACGTCACATCAACAAGTTTGAAATATAGTTCTGTTAAATTTCTCTAATTTTGTTACATTTTTAACATAATGTATGGTGACATCGACATTCTTTTCCGAAAGAAGCAAAATTTACGCATGACGGCATTTATTTTTGCCTGTTATTCCCTTCAGTTTTGATTTTCTTTTCATCCGCATTCAGATATAGTCCGGCTATGTACAGTGAAAATTAAATTTTATAAATTTCACTAGTGGTTTATCAGAATATAATCATCTGATATATTACAATAAAACACTGGAAAGCATGAAATAAATGGCTTTATTACACTCCTGCGCCGCGGTTTATGTGATAAACAAACATAATGTTAAATGTTACACGCGCTAAATGAATCTTTTTCACTTAAACAGTCTTTATTTTCAGTACGTGATAAATAAAATATTATATTCGTGTAAGTTCATTACTGAATTTATTGAACTGGTTGAATAAAATAATATTATGCTCGCCAGAGGTACGCATAATATAATTTCATTTAACTCCTTTGATGAATTCAGTATTGAACTTTGACTTACACTTATTCAATATTGTCGATATATGCTACTTACACATACTGTACAAAGAAATAACCCCTTTTTTCTTTTAGAAAACCAGATGCATTGCTTGTACCACAGAAAGAAGAGCTGGAGAAGAAAAAGACAGTTCACAGGCTTACTAAGATGAATATTGATTTAAAAACAAAAACGTGATTACTTTATAATAAAATCTTCTGTATATATATCTAAAACATTTGTTTTAAATAAACATAATGAAAAAAAAATCTATAGAAAAATGTTTATCATTCTGTGACTTCTTCACTCATTTACAAAGACAATGGTATTCATGTTTATTCAAATCCTTTTATTTGAACCATATGTAAAGTCCTTTTTATTTGAAGGTTGTCAAGTCGTAAAGTCCTTTTATTTGAACCATGTGTAAATTCTTATTATGTAAAGTCCTTTAGTTTGGACCTTATTTTAAGTATAGGTTAGAGTGCATATTGGGTGTTCTTCGTAAATAAGAAAGCTAAAAATGAGCGGAGCTTGCGAAGCGACTGTAGCTTTCTTATTTACGAAGAGCATCCAATATGCACTCTAACCGGCTTAGTGCTCCGCCCACTTGCGTTTTATAATATAAAATGTCCAGTTTATATAAAATCTGTTTGAACCTTGTCAGGTCCGTTATTCATGTCCTATCATGTCAAGCCTTGTATTTGGTCATTTTGTTTAAACTTTATGTCAAGACCTTTTATTTGAACCTCATGTTCAAACCACAAGTCAAGTCCTTTTATTTGAACCATACATATGCCAAGTAAAACAATCTAAATTAGATATTAGTAGTGAATGTTATTGTATCAGAGTGCTATATGGATACATTTTTGTTCTGTATTTATTTCCAATGAATATATTAATCAAGGCAATGGCATTTGCTGACAGACCAAGTCAATATTAAAGTGATTCTGCCGACAGTTATACATGGATATTACACCACTGCCTTAAAGCAGCTTACCTCCAGATGAGCCAAAATATTTAAAGGAAATCAAACTTGAAAAAATTTACTAAGATTTTAATAACAGTAAAAAGATTCAAGTAATAATTTACAAGTTATGTGCGATTAATGACTGATTTTGCAGTATTAATCAGCATATTTCTTCAGCATGACCAATGCAATAAAGCCTTTTTTTGCATATTTTGACCTATTTTTTTGGTTATCAACATGGATTGTAAGTGCCATTTGCAATGAAAAGAATTACTTTCATTGTTCACTTCACAATATTTAGCTTGTAAATACATTTTATCAAAATTTTCGTGAAACTAGCATAAATCTAGAGTCATGCTGCTTTAACTTGAAATGTATATCCATGTCAGGGCAAAGGTGTTATGTTCTCATTCAACAGGCCTGTAATAATTCATTCTTAAAAGCCATCAACAATAGCAAGAACAACAACAATTTGTACAAGTAGCTGTTTATTTCAACGTTTGCATAGTAAATCATTTTTGCCATTAAAGCAAGCAGTATACATGTATATTAAACATGTGAAATTAAATAATGGTTAATAACATTTTTGTTTCATTACCATACTGTAGAGTTGTTATAAATTTTTATCATCTTAAAAAAATTATTCTCAGTGTTTGATAGTAAACAAAAGCCTTAAAAATGCAGAATTTTCTAAGTTCAAAAAGGGACACAGTAATGCTAACAAGAGCACCACATGCAGTGTTTAAGATCCAGTAACTCAATTTTCTATTGTTTTTATATCATAAATACAACGCTCAAATAAAGATTTATCAATATTGTAAGTTCCAAAATGCATTACATGTAATTGTTAAAATATTACAGCATTAAATTTTACATGTCATGTTAATAAAGGGAGGAAATTAGAAATTTGTTTTCTATAAAGTCTAAGTCAAATTTTTCAATAAGAACTGAATGCATCTATTTTAATGATTACATATAATGTGGACAAATACTTGCAGTACATATTTTTCATATTCCTCAGTGTTTGAAAATTATTTTAGAAGCATAATTATACATATATAAAATTTCACTTAAGTGTGGTAACAACCTTTATTACAACATACAGGATCTTTAACGCTAGTCTGTCAAAATGTTATAAAGAGGTATAACTCCAGAAATATTGCTTTTAGAATTATGCCCTTTGTCTAACAACTGCATCTTGTTATGCTAAAAAGTAAGTATTCAAAGTTTCATATTGATAAATGTTAGAAAAATAGGCTACATTGAAGATTTTGCAAAACAACAACAAGACCATGCCGGATGTGATAAAAATAGCTCAACTTTTTCTTAGAAACAGACAAGTTAATAATCAATAACACAATCAAACATACCTGACTACATGCAGCTTAACAGTAGATTAAAACATAAAATTTAAATTTCATAACAACCCTATATCATGTTAAGCACAACTGATAATAAAATCAATAACTTACAGATGCTAAAAAAAATCTAACAAAGTAAAAAAAAATCTAGCAAAGTTCAGAAAAATCTTGCTACAGATCTGTCAACATTTTAACTAACATCATCTCCTCTTATTCTTATTTCTAGGAAATTAATCTTAAATCTGAGCATGTATACCAACCAATATTAGATCAAACTTCTAAGCATATGACCTCATTAAAGGGGATTGGTCAACAAATTTGTGGGACAATTCAACTAAAATCATCTAACAATGGAAATGTATCATTTGAATATTTCTTTTAAAAAATGTTAAAAGTTACAATTCTAATTAATTTCGTATGAACATTTATATAATGAATAATAATATTTTGTCCAAGAACAATTTATCATCTGCTACATAAGATATATGCCATATCGAATCATGATCTCACATTTACCAACAACATCCATAGCGTTACTGTCATGTATCATACTAAATACTATACACATTATTATTTATTGTACTAAAGACCTTTCATTATAGACCAATTCCCTTTAAACAAAGTCTCATTATAGACCAATTCCCTTTAAACAAAGTCTCAGTCTGAGTATCATGGTAATCATATCATAATTTAATACAAACAGAAAATCTGATCATTATCTTTACTATGTAATATACTTTTAAATGTAGATTAACAATATCAATGAAATTTTAGCTTTTTTTCCTGTCAATCTTGTATATCATTCAAGATAAATATATTCAAATACAGTGCTATTCCTTTTTTTATAAGTTTTACATATTTTCTTAATGGATACAAGTTAAAAATGTAGTTTTGAAATCACCTGATCCCCATATCTCTCATCAATGCAAGTATAGTTACTTTTCACTGACCATATTTTTTCCCCCAGCTCTTCACTTCAGTTGCTGTACTTTCATATTCTCTCAACTCACCATAACCTCACAATATTATAGTATCTTGTTAACCACAAGCATTACAACTTTTGTGATAACACAACTTTCACAGATCTTATGCATTTCATAATATTGCATGTAAAAACATTGACCATATAAAAATCTCTCGAACCATTCCCCAAAAGAAACCCACAGATCAAATTATCCGGTGATAGTTAGAAACCCAGTTTCGTCAGTTTAATCCCATTCTTCCAGTGGTCTTTCTTCCTCTTCATTATCTTGATTTTCTAATTGAGGTTCTGCCATTCTGATATTTTGGAGCAAGTCTCTCATGGCTTCCATTAATGCGCCCACACCTTGTCTTAGCTGGTTCCCCTCAGCTCCTCCTGCTGCACCTTGCTCTGGTGCTGGTTCCTGGCCATACAAGGAATTTTAAACATTGTACAGTTATGTAAACAATTCAAACTTAATATGAAATAATATTTCTCAATCTTAGTCATAAGTTAAAAACAATACATAACTATTTAAGTGGAGTTTTAAATCAGTTGAACATGAATTTAATTCTGGCATTTAAAGGGACTCTACTGATGTTAAGAGGGGACAGAAAAAATTATCTGAGATAAAAGTTCCATTTGATGTAGGTCTAGACCACTAACTTGTTGGAAATTTCAGATCATTTGCTCTCTCATTTTTCTAACTGTGAAAAATGACCAAAAATTGCAAATTAGCACAAAAATACTATTTTCAATTTATCTCTAATGTTTATTTCCTAAATGCAAAAAGAGCCATAATATTCTCAAAATTTTTGTTAAACTTAAAGGCCTTGGAGAGTGACCTCCTATTATGTTCTTAAATAAATATGTTTTTTTTTTTTTTTTTTTTTAAATAAATATGTGAAATTTCAACCCGTTCTGTTTAGTACTTTTGGAGATACCAACTTGCATGTAAAAACTTCCACAACAATTTGAGTACAATAGCTTTCACTATTCGAAAAGTCCAGCTAAAAATTAAAAAAGTACAAAAAGCAGACTTACATCTAAACTAACCAGCAAACATTGGACCGTTTTAGAATATTTCACTTTACATACTATACCTTAAGTTGTAAAAGTACATATAAAATGGTCAGCATTTCATACTTACATTTGGATTAAAATTTGGCATCAGAGATCGTAGAAACATTGAAAAAGCATTTCCATCAGTCTGTACTCTGTTTGGCCTAAATAAAAATAAATCATGAAAATTTTGCAACTCTTCTTTTTTTACCTTAAAATGACGATCAAAACAGTTAAATGTTTCTAATATAATTAAAGATGAAATTATCTGAAACAACTCTTGATTTTAATCTGATTCTCTGATTTGATTCATATATACTTGCAGTCTTCCCCCCCCCCCCCCCCTGCACCTCATCCCATGCATAAATGAACTACATTATATTTGTACCAAACTATCTATTTATCTTTGTATTCTGTAACAAGAAGAACCAATTATCTGATCCCAATGCACACTTAATTAACTCTAAGGTACTTAGGCCTACATTTGCATTTTTAAGTCTACATTAAACTTCGCATGTTGATAACATTGTTATGGCTATATGTATAACTTCCATCTTTTAAAGTGGAGGAAGACACAAAAAGAACTTCAATATAAATGAGCCGCGTCATGACAAAATCAACATAGTGCGTTTGCGACCAGCATGGATCCAGACCAGCCTGCGCATTCGCGCAGTCTGATCAGGATCCATGCTGTTCGCTAACCAACCATATTACAAGTAGAGAAACTGATAGCGAACAGCATGGATCCTGATCAGTCTGTGCGGATGCGCAGGCTGGTCTGGATCCATGCTGGTCGCAAACCCACTATGTTGGTTTTGTCGTGACGCAGCTCAAATGAACAATGGGTTTAACAGCCCTCCATTCAGAAAACTAGATGATTAGCTGCATGAACAAATGCATTTACACTGTTAAGATTTGAACCAAAAGAATTTAATGATCAGAGAATTTCGAATGTTTTTTTTTGTTTACTTTTCTTCTATATTTTTCATCAACCTCTTCTATAAACCAGCCAGATGGGTTATTCACTCACACGAAATTTGATTCTACAGAGATATTTAAACTAACTGTGTAAAGAGTGTCAGATACTTGTGATGTCTGTAAAAAAACTCATACCTTGAAGGTCGTGCATAGGCTTGTACAGAATCAAGAGGTGGTAATGGATCATAACTCAACACTGTACTAGCTACATCCTGCAATAATAAATTATATGTTAATCTATCTATCTATCTACCTTCCATTTCTATCAAACCCCTCACAAGGACGTGGACAGTCGGCGCATTAAGCCACTAAGAAAAGTTAAAAAGTGATTTAAAAATGTATAAAAAAAAATATTATTAAGAATTTATGGAAGATGTTTTTGGGTGATAGTTGTCTATCTTGGCTGGGGATATACTTACAGCTCAGCATGTGGGAATGGTGGGAGGCTCTCCCTTGGATAAGATGACCTTCAATGGGGATGATGACTATATTATTAGTGATTTTGTACATTCTTGAGATCAAGTAGGCTCTTATTCACTGTAAAAATCTATTTTTTCGTTGGGTTTTACATCACACCATCACAGTATAGGTCATATGGCAATGTTCCACCTTTCCTGGTGGAGGAAGACCTCAGGTGCCCTTCTGTGGATTATTTCAGGCACAAACAGGCACCTGAGTAGAACAACCAACATTCCCTAAGCTTACTGTCCAGCTTCCTCACATGAAAGAATCTAAAGTCCCTGTCAGGATTTGAACCCACAGCAGTGAGGGACAAGTGGTTTAAATAAAATCTACTTAAAGTATTGTAATTTTGTATTATTCACATGTACAAAATATAAATGATCAGTACAAAAATTCTTGTCTGACAATATTTATAAAATTAATCTCACATTTCCATTAGATATATTACCCCTGCATGACGTTGGACTATCGCATGACTTTATTTTATAATGTACATGATTTCAGTCCCTCTGGTATACTAGACAGATGTTATTATTGGTATTTCTATAGTCTCATACATATGTTACAATAATAAATTAAGTGCAAGGACAATTACCTGAGGAATGGTTGCCGTGGCAGTGGGTATCTCTGATATTAGTATATGTCTGTAAATATTCCTTGGAGTACCTTTATATCGTGACTGTCTCCTGAAAGAGATGCTGTCTAAATGATGATATGAACTAAGTATCAATTAGATATAACATTCTGGTAAAAAGTTGTTTTTTGTTTCGTTTGGTATCATTTTACATCAACCAGTTTAAGGTCATTTGGTAACTGGTCAAGGGAAAAGACATTCTTGCAAATCAGGCTTGTGTTTCCGTTAGTTTCAATGGCAAGAATCATCACATCCCAATGGGAGGATATTCCAATCCGAACCATGACATATGACAGCTATTATCATTCCTAATGCCCCTCAATGCAATATTTTTTAGACTTTAGCATGCACCTGAGTAGAACTACCAACCTTCAGTAATCTGGTTATAATGAAATGTTTTATTGTCAACCGGTAACAAGCAGTACAATTAACCATTGTTTATATTACCAATAATCTCCTCATCTTTCAATTGCAACATATTTTTTCATTTTTTCATAAGATATTTGTAAACAAAAATGCTAAGCCTATATTCTTAAGCTGATTTTCCACACAAAACTTTAACCAGGAAATTTGTAAGTTTGCAAAGGCCAATAATTCAGTAAAAAATCCTTGCAAGAGACTCATTGAGAGTTATGATTCTTAGATATCAAACTTCTATAACAAAAGCAAAGACAATACACTGGTGTGGACACACAGGTGAGTAGAATAGCCCAACTATCCTTCAAACAGTGTAGCTACACAGTAACAAAACGCACATACAAATGATTTTAAATATCATTCACCTAATGATAGTTTTCAATCAGAAACTGAGCTTTAGCATGTGTCTGAAAAGTTAAGATTATAACCTTTCCAAAAGGTAAACTACTGAAAAGCCACATTACATTTACCTTTGTTTATATGTACTTTGTTTACCATATATATGTTTATATGTACAGTGGAACCTGTCTAATCCAAACTCGTCTGGACCAGAAAAAAGTTTGGATTAGAAAGGTTTTCGTATTAGAAGGTTTTTTTACATACATTTTGTTCATGTTATTGGCAGAATAGTCTAAGGAAAGAAAACAGGAATACTTTTGAAATTGCAATATAAATATTTTATTTTTGCAATCTTTTATCGTTCATTTTCATACATGTGAATACAAAATAAATAAGCAATAATGTTATGTTCTTAAGAGTAAGTTACCCTACAATGTTAAACAGGAGGCTGAGACATGATTATATATTCGTACCAGTCTTTTGTTGTTTACTCTTATCAGATTCAGCGATTATACGAATTCACTTCACAGTTTCCATTAATGTCTGTTACTTAATCATGTGTTATTAAATTCATTACAAAAGATTAAAAAGATATTTCTATTGCATTATATCAAAATTTATTGAAGGTGACGAAAGACAATCAATTAAGCAATTATAGTACATATCAAGGCAAGCTAAGTGTAATTTTGACACCTTCGCAGATCATACGTTTCACACATTAATTGAGCGAAATTACTCATATCAGTTTGGTGTATGTTTACACCTGCAAGATGTGCGATTATATTCTATTTTGAATGTAGATGTGATATTTTGCAAAATCTGTTTGGATCCGAGAGGTTAATTTTATAGTAAACCCATTACGCGATATGCACGCCTTTTTCACCCCCCCCCTTTCTGTTGTCTCAAATGGTGAAAAAATGTCCCCAACACTTGTTTTTGTTGCATAAAAAAGTGACCACTTTTTCGGCGCGGCCCCCGAACCAAAAGATACATCAGGGGGTTGCCAGAAGGGGGATGTGCCCCCTTCTGTTTGGGGGGTTTGAAAAGGGGCGGCAGTCCCCCTCATCGCCAAGAAAATTTTGGACTTGTGAGAGGCTAAAAATGACCCCAGATCGATCATAAGGTAACGTGTAACCAACGCTGGAAAGTATTTGACTTTATCTCAATCCATTGAGAAGTTGCTGCACTTTGAAATCAATTTTGATGGAAAAAAAAATCAAGGCAAATTAGTGATTTTTGGCAATTTTGAGATGTCGCCCCGTTGCCATGGATTGGTAACAGGAAATTTAAGCCTGAGCATGTTGTTGCAAAGGCAATGGTCCAGATAACATTTGTGCCAAGTTTGATTAGTATTGAAGCAATTCTTATAGTTTTATATCAATTTGAACTTTTAACGGGAGACTTTTCAATGAAAACAGCCATTTTTTACAAAATGCTCATGAAGTAATAAGTTAAATAAGAACAAATTTGAAAAAATCGTCCGGAATTCGGAGTAGACAGGTTCCGGATCCAAGAGGTTTTTTACTATTGAAAATAGAACGAATAATAATGGGACCGGACCCTTCATTCGGATAAGAAAAGATTCTGGATTAGAAGGGTTCGGATTAGCAAGGCTCCACTGTACTTTGTTTACCTTTGTTTAAATGTAAAATGTTTACCTTTATTCATATATGCTTTGCTCATCTTTGTTGATATGTAATAAGTTTACTTTTGTTTATATGTACAAAGTTATACAAAGTTTCCCTTTGATTTACATGTAAAACCTTTATCTTTGTTTACATGTACAAAGTTTACTTTTGTTTATATGTACAAAGTTATACAAAGTTTCCCTTTGTTTACATGTACTAAGTTTACCTCATCTATATGTGCTTTGTTTAACTTTGTTTATATGAACCAAGTTTACCTTTGTTCATATGTACAAAACTTATCTTTGTTAATGTGAACTATGTGTACCTTTGCTTATATGTTCTAAATTTACCTCTGTTTATATGTACAAAGTTTATCTTCTTTATATGTGCAAAGTTACCTTTGTTTATATGTTTCAATGAGAGGATTTTTCTTCTCTACTTGATCTATCACAGATTTAACATTTCTTTCCAGCCATTCCATCACCTCTGGTAGCTTCCAACATGCGAAACATCTTCCTACATAAAGTGCTATCAACTGCTTTAAAGCATCAGGCTGACTGAAAGAAAACAAAATATGTATTAAATTCAAGAGCTTGTATAAAAACCGTTGGCCATGACATTTTGTGCTATACCATGTAGTGTATTTGTTTGAACTATGCACTCTCCCACTGCAAGCAAGGTAATTTTTTTTCTAAGGAAAATTTATTGATGATTTAAATTTGAATGATGAGGATATAGAATTAATTTTTAGGCATTTTAGGCAACAAAAACAATTCATTGAAATGAATAAATTCTCACTTTTCTTTTAACACAGCTAGAATGACAATATTTACGAAAATTCTTATAAAACCCTGTCATTTTTCTAGCAATCCCTGCTATTTCCCCACATAATCCCTGCCATTTCCCTAGCCATTCCTGCCATTTCTTTATCACTCCCTGCTATTACTTCATCAATCCCTGCCATTTCCCTATAAATCCCTGCTATTTCTTTATCAATCTCTTACATGTCCCTAGCAATCCCTGCCATGTCCCTAGCAATCCTTGCTATTACCTAATCAATCCCTGCCATTTCCCTAACAATGCCTGCTATTTCTTCGTCAATCCCAGCCATTTTCCTAGCAATCCCTGCTATTTCTTTATCAATTCCTGCCATTTTCTAGTAATTCCAGCTACAATCCCTTCTATTTCATCATCAATCGCTGCCATTTCGTAAGCTGACATTATAAGAGTATGGTCCAACTGCATGATCCGACTTGTCACATCTGATTTACTAACACCTGACTTTCTAGTATTCTCTAGTTTTGCAGGAACCACTACTAATATTCATTCCATTGTAATAAAAACTAAACATTTCTAGTTTGTTATATCCTTTAAAGATAACTAGACCTGTCCTTAAGACAACACTCAGTATTTGACAGTAAGAAAAGGGGAATAAACCTGTGAAAAGGAAAGTCAGAGTTGCGTCCATCATGTAAGATAATCACAGAGAACCATTAAAAGTGTTCAGTTTCAACCAATTCCCTTCAGTTTTGGAGATAAAACTTGCTGGCAAAAACTTGATAAAAATGTGACCCCCAGGTGAGTGCAATAGCTTTCCCTTATTCTTTGAGTGGTATAGCTAACATTTGTATCAATTTTGGTTACAAATTGTATCATTGTTGTGGCTTAAAGGGCCTTTAAGACAATTTCTCTAAATGAAAGATAAAAATTGTTACCTAATTTCTGCATCCTTAAAATAAACATGGGCAGCTGATTGGTCAGCCTGCACTCCACACTTGTCCAGCAAGGGGCTTAATACACCAGGAAACATCAATAGACTATCTTGCAGCTAAAAATATAATACAAATAAAATAAAAGTTTGGTTATTAAATATAATTTATTTGTTTCAATCTGTTTTCAAGACATCTTAAGTCAAACATATAATTTATAATTTCCAAACAAATATATAACATAACATAATATCTTAAAGCAGCATGCCTCCAGGTTCATGTTTATTTCCATGAAAATTTAAAAATACTTTTAAAAGAAAATTATTGTAAAGTGAACGAGGAAAGTAATTTACACATTGCAAACAGCTGTTCCACGCTCTCCTCCAACGTAGATTTTCATTTTTTACCAGGTTTGGCAATTTTGTATACATGCTACTTAGATAAAAGCTGGACAGTCTTACTGATCAGGAATGAAGAATTGTCGGAACTAATCAAAATTTATCGGACATGTCAATAGGATCGGCATATTTCGGGAAGTCTGCAAAAAGGCTTTCAGCAGTTCATTGTCAAAATCAGCTACCATTGAAAATTTGCTCCTCCCACTACTATTTATAGAAAATATTGACCTTTTCACAATGGCATGTATATAAACAATAACCTACCATTTCATCTGCTTTGTTTGTCTCCCCTTGATGAAAGTATGCTAACGGTATAGAGAAGGCAAAATTTGGCAGCTGAGACAAGTTTCTGTGTGCCTGCAAAATAGTAAAAATATGAACATATTCTTAAATACATAATAAAACATTTTAAACATACAACACTTTAAAAAATATAACAACACTTAGCCAGCCCACATTTAACTGATAAAACTTCCATCATTGATTCTATGGACAAATCATCAATTCTAAAAGAAAATTGAAAAGTTTCAGTTAGTGAAACAAATACAATCGTCAAAGACATTTTAAAAGCTCTACGAATTTGACATTTCAAGTGTTATTTACAACACAGATACTATGAATATACTGCTTCTGAGATGTCATAGCTATGGTTAAAGTATTTCCTATATGCATGATAAATAGTGAAAACTATAAAATCATTACTCCATTATTCATCCATAAAACTTCATTGACAATACAGGATTCAAATTATGTGTTATTTTTTTTTCACATACAGAATAACAAGTTCTCACCTCCCATTCATTGTAAAGTCTGACTAGAAATTCATACTCCCCACATCGTATAGCATAGAAATCTATCAACAGTAAAGCACATAGAGGGTCATTGTCCGGATCCAAACTGAAAAAATATATATCAATCATTTTCTATACATTGATACAGTGGTTTTATCACACACCTTTGCCGATTTTGCGACTCCGTAAATATGGTATTTTGACGTGACGTCATTAGCGTTATGCAAACACAGTGTAAAGACGTACTAAAATGTTAGGGTTATACTATAGGCGCGTCAATGAAAAACAACTTATTTCACTTAAAACGGTCTTTATTTCGGTTATGTGATAAATAGAATATTAAATTCGTGTAAGGTCAATACTGAATTTATTGCACTCGTTGAATTAAATAATATTATGCTCACCAGAGGCTCGCACAATGTAATTTTATTCAACTCTTGCAATAAATTCAGTATTGAACTTACACTCATTCAATATCCTCTATAAAATAATTGTTTTATGTGATAAAACATGTGATAATACATGCATTTGTTTTTTATACTGACTTGGTAATATCTTTGTGGTTATTCCAATCCATCTAACCAGCTTTACTGGTTAATAAAACTGAATGGTAAAATACAATAGCATTTTTAAAAAGACATTTTTAAGAGAAATAATTCATACGGACAGTACAGAGGATACAACAATGCAATCAGTGCCTGTTAAAACGACTATCAATAACCTGTTTTGACAAATATTTAGGCTCAAGAGGGACATGACACATAAAAAATATAACTTTCTGAAGTATGCGCCTTGTCTACCAACTGCACCTTGTCATAAAAAGCAAGTATTCAGCGTTTCATGATGATAACATATAAAATGTTTGAATATATGTTCTACATTAAAGTTTTTGTACAATGAGTATGGCGATGCAGTGATCATTATAGATTGACCTTTTCTTTGAGAGAGATGAGCAAATAAATGTTGTCTTATTCAATTGAGAATTCTATACAAGTATGTATACAAGACATACAAGTTAACACTTAAAACATGCACAGCTGTCTGAATCTGAAGATTTACAGATATTTTACAACTGTATCACTTCATAAGGATATTTTTCTTCTTTTGTTGTTGTTATCATATGGCAACTTTTCAGCTTAAAGAAATGATATACTCAAACCAATGTACAAAAGTCACATGAAAGAGAGATCATGTTTGGTCTTTATAAACACAAGGTCTTTATTTTTGGGTTATTCTATCAAATCAATTAACAATTCTTGAAAAACGGTCTTCATTTACAGGGCAGTCTTTATTCAACTGTGGCATAACTGTACTTGTGAACAAACATAATAAGCAAAAAGATAAAAACAAAAACATATTGCTACTATAGTTCTCAAACAAATACCTACCTTAAAAGAAATTTAGTAAATTCAAGAGCTGTCCTATTGCACCCTCTTTGTCCCATGGACCCAATATGTTTAAATAAGGCAAGGTATAATGATCTGAAATTAAAGCAATGTCATCTTAATGCTTTAACCTGTTGAATTTCATAAATGGACTCAACCATACTATAAATTTGGAAGTGTCCATTATAAATTTTGGGGATATAGAGGAATCAGACTGTACAGATGCCCAGCCTGGCCTGGCTCTATACTGGTGACAATGGCTAATCACATTCAGCTCCAGCACTGTAATGGTTCATAATGGTTCAAAATAATGATTAATTTTTTTTGAAATAATACAATACAATACTAAAGTTATCTTGTATTTCAACTTCATCTTCAATTTATAAACATAATGTTTACAGTTTGTTGTTTGTTTTTCTGTTTTGTATGTTTTATTCAATAATATTTTTAGTTGTATCTCTATGGTTGATACACTTCATCGAGCAAGTTTGAAAGATTACAAAATATGAAGTCAAGTTCTGTATAATGTAATCTGCATTATCCTATGGAACATTTGTATATATACTCTCCACATACATCAACAATGTCTCAAATCAATAAAACAAAAACAAAAAAGAAAGAAAAAGAGCTGCAAAAAGTCTGCGTCCTCGTCATTTATGCTCTCCATTCAGTAGTTTTAGAGATACCATCTTGCATGCAATGACCAAAGTGTGACTCTGACGCCAACACCAGGATGGGTACAATAGCTCTCCCTATTCTCCCAGTAAAATAACTTAGTCCATCTTAATGCAAGTACCTTTAAAGGTATTCAAGTTATTTCAACATACCTATTTTCCCTGTACTTATACTCTAATCTACAAGTTCCTAATGTCATATTAAACAGAGGATGGAATGACATTTCCATTGAGAAGAGAGCCCGTTCTGAAAAATAACATAAATTAAATATGTCAAATATGTCATGTCAAATAACTGTATAATATTTTACATTACAGAACTACACATGTACCCTTTGACACTTTATATGGATACAGTTCTAAATGTTTAAATATTGTTTTGCTTTTTAAAACATATATTTCCCTTAATGCAAAAGGGTTCCCCAATTTAGTATATAAGGATTTAAACCTTTCAGCCTAAGGTGATATAAAAAAGATAAAAGTATTATCAGGAAATTTATGTAATTTTAAAATAATATTTGAAACAAAAAAATAAAAAGTTATTATTAATCCCCTTCCATGCTTATTTAAGGCACAAACAGACACCAGAGTTGAACCATCGTGTTCTGAAACCCAGCTAAATAGCTTCCTCACATGAAATATCCAAAGTTCCGGTGGGGATCAAGCCCAGAGCATGAGCGGCAAGTGGTCTGTGCTCACTAATAGGTAGGTATCTTATTAAGTTAATCCAATATTTAGCCTGCTGGGGGCAACTGAATTTATCTATGTGACCAGTGCAGACTTAAATTAATGGACACATCTGTGCCATCTGATCATGGTCATAGTTTATCAATAATTACATATTTTGAAATTTTCCCTAAATATGATGTTTTTGTTGAATTTGTTTAAGATATTTTATTTAGGGTGGTAAAGATTTATCAATATTTATCCTTAAAAGCATGACTGACTTACAATAATGTATTTTAACTATTAAAATATGCAAAATGCATGGCGGAGTGGTTAACACTTAGTACTAATAATCTAATGATTGCTAGCTGCATGAAATCAAACCGTGTCAGGGGCATTGCTTCTGTGAGCAGGAAACTATACATTCATTGCTCAGTACTGGTTGGTTCCAGGAACAGATTTGAGACCATCTCTATAAGCTTATACATGCAGTTTCCTACACAATTGAACTAAATCAAATTCTGTATAAACCAAAATATGCAATATGTACATATATGAAATGAGTAAGAAGTTGAATCAATACCAATCATTTCAGCAGCCATATTATGATCTTCACTCATGCGAAACACTTCACTTAACTGTATCAATGCATCAATATGGTAGGGTTGTAGTTGTAGAATATTCTGTAATATAGATATAAATGACAGGTAAGATCACAGGTTATCTGCCCCTTGAGTCATATAATGGCAAGGAATGGACATATAAAAAGTAGCACCTGATTTTGTGTTTACATAGTAAACAAGAGCGATCAGTAATCACATGTGTCGCCTCATGATGGCCAATTTTATGTTGGGACAAGTTTTGTGACAGACGGACAGACAGACGGACAGTGCACAACTAGACTTAGTACTGATAATTCCTGTAAAGTTTGGATAAAATTGCACCAGTAGTTTATGAGGAGTAGTCCGGACAAGCTTTTGTGTATCTGGAAACACACAGAAAAAAAACACCTTTTTATCAAAGGGCCATAACTTGGCCAAAAATCATTCAACCGGAAAACCCGTGCAATATGCGCAAGGACTTGAGCTACAGATCAATCCTGTAAAGTTTCATTGAAATTGCATTAGTGGTATAAGAGAAGTAGTCCGAACAAACTTTAAAAATAAAAATTATTAAAGGGCCATTACTCTGACAAAAATCATTGAACAGGAAAATGCTGACAATATGCACAACTAGACTTGGTACTGATCATTCCTGTAAAGTTTGGATGAAATTGCACCCGTAGTTTATGAGGAGTAGTCCGGACAAGTTTTGTGACGGACAGACAGACAGACGGACAGACAGACGACGGAAAAGTGATCCCTATATGTCGCCACTACTCCGTAGAGGCGACACAAAAAGATTATTTGTTCTTCTTTTTTTCCTGAATATTTGTATTTGTTTTACCATAATTATTCAAATATTAAGTGGTGTTTCGAATATTCAAATTAAATTCTCTGGCCTTACATTATACTAACAATATGAAGCTGACTTTGACCAATGACCTTGCCCAGATTTAAATCTGGAACTGTCACTAAGAGTTTAAGTATTTTGGTATCAAAATACTAAAAATAGGCTATTCTTAGCCCCGAGTTGATTGAAAAGCATTGCAGCCCTTTTTAAATTTGGTTCATTTTTAACAATAAAAATAATTATTCTGGTACAGCAGAGTGAGTGAATGCTTTGAAAATTTGTACACAATTTATTGGTCTAGACCTACATCGGACATTACTCTAGGAAAATAAATTCAAAATGGAACATTACTTTAGGTATATTATTTCAAAATAGAACATTTATTTAGGAATTTTTTTTCAAAATGGAACATTACTTTAGGAAAATTATTTCAAAATGGAACATTACTTTAGGAAAATTATTTCAAGTCCTGTCATGTCCAGAAACCTCATTGGTGTCCCTTTAAGATAACATACTTTTGCCAATATATAATAATATTATACAAAATATATCATATAAAAAGAGTAATATCAAAGACGTACCCCAATATTTTGTGGGTTAAGAGATTCTACTGCATCATAGAATTCAAACTGCACCTTCTGGTACTGTTGACTGTGTTCAAACAGAAAGTACTGGCAGCCTTCTTTAGTGTCCTTCAACTGCATTGACAATCCTAAAATTTCATATTAGTGTAGGTTTAACACTGAGTTATTGAACAAGTTGAATAAAATTATATGATTTCATTTCATTCATCAGGTTAAATAAATGAACCTACAAGAATATAATATACTTTATATCACACAATTTTTCAGTTTAGATCATATTTTCATTGATGCACTAATAAGATAACACTAGCACTTAGGGTGCTTTAACGCTATGTTTGTATAATGCATATGACATCAAACAAAAATATATGCATGGTCGTACCATAACATGTTAATAGATTTGTAAAATCTGCATGGGTATGTGATAAATCATTTTAAAGGAAGAAAAAGTGAGGAAATGCTTGAAAAACAAGAGCTGTCCGTAAGACAGCGCGCTCGACTTTTTTATTGCTTGCCAATAAAAAAAGTTTTTGCAGTAAAAGGCAATACAAGAATCTCTGTATTTTTAAAGTGAACAATGGCCATGAGCATTAAGATATTTAGTGAAGAATTATTTTACTGAATTGTGTGATACCCTTGAACACTGCAGCAAAGTTTGAAATGTTTAAGTCAAAGAGGGCTGGTAAGAAAGAAAAAAAACTGAGTTGAGCCTTAAATAAATTTAATAGTATTAAACCCACTTTGAGAGAATAAGGTATTTTTACGTCACTCAGAACACCTTGGTAAATGACATAATAACATAATTTTTCAAGAAATCTATGCCAAGGAAGCAGTATATTTTTGTACAATCAGCATAATATATAGATTTGACTTTGTATGTGAAAGTATTATAGTTACGTTATCAATACAAGTAATAGATAAATTTTATCAAAGCTTTTTTTAGATGTTGTCAGTTGATCACAAGTGGATCTCTTTCACACAGTTCAGTCAAAAAGTGGACTGGTACTAAAACTTAACCAAGATTCTAAGTCGATAAAAGGCCTTAATTTTAAAACAAATCCTTGACAGAGTTACCTTCTCTTGCGTACAGATGGGGGTAATGATGTGAAATAGCATTAAAAAGTTTCAAAGCAATATCTCAAAGGGTTAAGGCAATAAGTGGATTTTACCCATATTCAATGTATTTTCTAAGTCAAAAAAGGGCATAATTCTGTCAAAAACCTTGACAGAGTTATGTCCTCTTGTCTGTTGATGAAGGTCGTGATGGTAAACAAGTATGGTCGTTTCAAAGCAATACCTCCAATGGTTTTGAAATAAAGTGAGGTGGTACAAAAAACTTAACCAAGCTCAATACACTTTCTAAGTCAAAAAAGGGCCATAATTCTGTCAAAAAACCTTGACAGAGTTATGTACTCTTGTCTGTAGATGGAGGTTATGATGGTGAACAAGTATGGTAAGTTTCAAAGCCATACTTGTAATACTTCTGAAATAAAGTGGGGTGGTACGAAAAACTTAACCAAGGTGTGACGCCGACGCCGACGCCGGGGCGAGTAGGATAGCTCCCCTTTTCATAGAAAAGTCGAGCTAATAATTTGAATTTCGTAATTGGAAATTAGTTTTTTTCTTACCAGTTCTATCAATGAAGAGATATGTATAATATTTTACCTGTTTTACCAATAGGTGGCCAGCTATCTGTAGGTTGAGCCATCCAGGACACTTTCTGACGACGCCTCGTCTGACCACGTCTTCTTCTGGTTCACAAAAAAAAGGGAGAACAGATTAAAATATGTACAGTAAACTCCCCTTATAATGATATTAAGACGACAGTCGAATTTATTTACATCGTTACTTTCGAGAGGGAACAAAATTTAAAACAAGAGTCTGGACCACAGCAACAGTATCGTTATAAGTGGCACAATTATAATTGATATCATTTTAAGTAGAGCTGACTATATACTTACTATATAAATCAATAAAATTCAATTTTATCTGTTTTGAAAAGAAAATCGAATTTAAACATCTAAAATATTATATATTATATAAGTTTCATTGATATATATGATTCGTACTGGATTTGAAAAATACACAATTTATTTGGATTTTAACACATTTAAAGATCCACACACCAAGCATTGTGGTGAAATCACTATACAGAATTATCCTCAAAGTCCGACATTTTAATGAACAATCTTAAAATAGAACATTATAATAAACTTACGAGCCTTCTTCACGTATTGTACGAGAACCAAAAATTCTTTTCAATTCATTTTCAGGATTCAGGTGTCTGTAATAATAAAAAGATGATTTAATGTCATAAAATGTTTGTAATTTATTTGTTATTTTCTTACATTACATTACTGTACAAAAATTCATTTCAACTAACTAAGAACACCTTTCTTACCTGATAAATAGTGTAACAAAGTGTACAATTAGTGGGTATAAATGTATCTCTAGACTGCTAAAACCAGTTTCAGTTTTTATTAAACGGCCAACATTAGAGTAACTTCCCTTTTAATTAAATGAAGGGGAGCGGTGGCCTAGTGGTTGAGGTGTCTGCCTGTCAACCCAGAGATCATGGGTTGGAGCACTACTTGGGTCACTACCATGTTTCTTCATGTGACACCAGTACTGGTTGGTTCCAGGAAGCGGACTCGAAAGTGATTAATATAAGCTGCAAGAACTTGTTTCGCAATCGAGGTTAAAATAAGTATGTTTAAACGAATTAATTGAATCATAAATTTACAATATGTATAACTACAGTTTAACTTACTTGTGTTCTACCATAAGCAGTGCTTTATTGTTTGATATATAAGTGGTATCTGAGGCAGCAGTTAACTCCCCTTCTCCTATATTCCCATTATTTAAAATTCTGTTAACTTCTCGTATACTTGCATCAATTTCATCTTCACCCTGGAAAAAAAAATGTTATGTATCATTAATGAATTACGACAGGTGTCTTTTATAAAGAGATGCATGTTTTTCTATCCAGGTACTTTTTTTTTCATAAAGGTATTATCTTTTATTATAACTCTTTTGTTAAGAAAAGTTTACTGTTACATTAAGTCTAACAATGTACCTTAAATACATCTTCCAGAAGGGAAAGTCTTAAGTTTGTATGACATTCATTTAGATAAATCTTTTGTTATGATTTTAATGAAATAGTATCATGATGGTATTACAAAGTTTGTACAATGTTATGAAAACTATCAAGCCATAAACTTCTCCAACACTTATTTGGAGACCCAAATTTATTAGAAATTCATTTCAATCAATCAAAATAATTACTCTCATCAAAATTTGAAAAATAAATTTCTGGTAAAGGAAATAAACTTTATCATTTACTGGTACACTGTATGTTAGTAGTCATAATTTTATAAAAATCCAGAAATTTATCTCCACAAATTTACTAACATCTTTTGCTATGTCATCAGCATTCTCAGTAACCTCTTTCTCTTTTCCTTTCCTTTTCTTCTTCTTCTTTTTCTTTTGTTTACTTGTCTGGTTGGCAGCAGTTTGAGTTTCTGGCTGGGTTTCTATTTCCTCCGATTGATTACCATCGTTATCTGGCAAATTGTCTTCATCTTCATTCAGCTACGAGATATGATTTTGGTACATTTCAAAATGGTAAAATGGTAAACAAGTACACATGATGTATAAAAATTAGTCTTGTCTTACAGTATCAAAGCTGTACACCTCTAAATGAAAACAAAAAGTTAAAAAAAGTTCAAATAAATATTCAGAGAAATATAAATTAAGAATATACATGGTAGTGCAAACTGCATGTATATAAATGTCTGAATTTAAAATTTTTTTTATCATTTTATCATAACTATTTTATCATAACTTCACACTATTATTTTTGAGAAATTTTGTTGTTGTTGTAATTTTCAGCAATTTGCATGATGTCATGGTCAGGTGTTTAATTGGTCCAATGTAAAATAGATTCTTCACAAAAGTAAAAATTTTATAAACCAGAATATTTTACCTCAAGATTGCTTATCTAATTAGAGAAAATAGTAAATCTATGTTACTGGAAAATGGAAAAGACTTACTTTTTATTGGTTAAAAAATAATTTAATACATTATTTCAAATAATTTAGGAAATTAAGTGCATTTGGATTTTGTAAAGATCGCGAGTTACAAAGTGATAGTGCTGAAAATACGGTTGATGTAAATAATGGAGAAATTTGTTCTTATGGAGAAAGGCAGTCAGATAAAAGTGTTGAAGTTAAATTACCTAAACAAAATGAGAAAATAATCAGGGAAATATCAGGGCCAGAATGAAGCACACTAGAGACTGGCTAGAATATGACGCCAAAAATAAATTAATGTTTCTGCACAGTGTGTAGAAATGCCAAGATGGTAAATTCTTTTGTAAGTGGATGTTCCCAGTCTTAAAATTGAAAACATACGATCGCATGAAAATCAAAGGGGAAAAAAAGTTTGGTAAGTTGATATTTAGAACTTACAGTAGATCTATTGTACACCTCATTTAAAATGGTCGGTGATGTAAATGTTCTATTCGTTGAAATAAAATGTTTTGAATGTTGGTTTGACAATAAAAAAAAGCTTTAGGTATCAAATATGGTAACTTAGACATAAATGTAGTTTTAAAACAAACGAAACGAAAATAAAATGAACAGAGGGTTTTTTACTTTTTGTCACATGTTTTCGCGACATATAAAAAACAATAGTAAATATAACATTAAGTTCAATGATTATACATTTGTAGTTTATTTAACATTTTTTGCTGCTTTTAAAAGATATTAATTTAGATGTACATGATATGTAGATCTTAACTTAAAAATTATTTGCATTTTCAATTTTATTCATTAGGAGAGAATAGTCATATAATGCTCTTGAAATAATGAAGGAAACAAAAGAATATGAGACAGCAAGATCCAAACAACTACAATCTTCTGAGGCAGCTGTGATAGGGGCAATGAAGAATGTAGCCTTTATGGCTTCCCAAGATCTTCCCAACAGTATAATGGACTGATCTAAACGAACTCTGTTAAAGAGCAGGTGTGTACTAATTTTTTTTCATTGTGAATTTGTCTTAACTATATAATGAGTGGTGATTAAGGGGTCACTCTGACTACATGAGAATTTTTGTTGTTGAGTTCGTCTGGAAAGATGGACATAACTTTTATTATAATAGACATTAATAACTGATTAAGTCACATGAAGCAGACTGGGAAAGGTTCATTATTCATTACTATCAAGCTGAAATACATTTATAACATGTGATTAGAAGATGATTCAAAATCTCTTATAAACATTTTATGAAATTAATTGTTCTCTAAACTTATAATGTACTTGTAAAACTGGTATTATATACATTAAGTCATTCATACTTTTATAGCTATATCAGTGTTGTATAAAATAATAACTATTTAATAAATTAGGCTGTATTTTTTCTAATTTTTATCTTACATTGTTTTAGGGAGCATCCCCTTGAAGTCTCTGAAGTGTGATGCGTCTGTTAGTGAATTTCAGAAGGCCAATTTCAGAAGTTATTACTGATGAGCTTGTTGATGCAATTAAGAAATCACCCTATTTCAGTGTAACTTTAGATAGTCCCACAGACATTGGTGTGAAACAAAAACTTGATTGTTTATGTTCATGTATCTTGTGAAAGAAAAGGGTAAAATGATAAGTAAGAATGATTTTGTAGGTATTGTTTCATTTAGACAAAGGTGCCACAGCCTCAGAACATTTTTGATGCATTAATTGATCTTTTAACCAAGAAGAGGTATAGATTGTACTAAGTTAGCTGGTGTAGCATTACTGGATGGAGCAGCAGTTATGACAGGGAACAAGTCTGGAGTGTTTCAGAGAAGTAAAAAAACCCACAATCCTGGTGTATTGTCAGTTCACTGTAATTAGCTCACAGAACTTTGCACTTAGTTCAGGTTGGTGCAGCCGACAGTATTAATGTACCCTTGTCAAGTTTCAGGAAATTCTTTAAAAATGCATTGTATAAATACTTTGAATACTCTCCTAAACATGCCAATTGTTTGAAAAGATATGCAGTTACTTCTAGATCAGAAGCAGAAATTGAAGTTTAAACAAAAATTTTTCATACCAGATGGCTTCATTTGATGGTGCCTTGCAAGCTGTTATTGTTAATTACACTTAGTTTTGTTGTCTGTATTGATAGCTGATAAGAGTGCAAAATCTGCAGGTCTTGTAAAGTCTTTGTCAACTTAAAAATTTTTGTACACAGCACATTTTTCTTCAATGTTCATGCATTACCTTTTGTCGCCCTGAAGTTAAAATCTTAAACCAGTCATTAGACATAAATTTCAACCCTTCTGTCTATTCTTTGCTTGAGAATACAATCTGCAAAGATTAAATACTCTGAAAATGGCTCTTTGGAGAAAACATTACTGCCTTTCCTCAAGTCTTTCCTAATGCCCCAGTTGAGTCCGATTTGGGGAAGTCATTTAAATTAAAGATTCTGAAAAGCAGAGAAACCC